CGGCTCTGCGATCTCCCTCCTCGTGCATTGCCTGCAGCTCCCGACACAGCCCTGACACTTCTGCTTCTGACAGACAGCGGCGGTGGCCAGTTATGTGGGTGGGCCGGATAAATGACCCTGGCGGGCCATATCCGGCCCGTGGGCCATAGTTTAAGAACCCCTGGTCTAGAGTGTCCAAAATAAAAAAATGTGATCGCCTTCTAAGAGACTGGGTAAAGCAATGAGAGGTGATATTGTGGTCATAAGTAGGAGCAAGAGACAAGCAGTACTATGGCGCAGCAAAGAACAAGTCTGCAAATAAACATTACTTCTTTGTAATTTTAAATTATAGGTTCGAGTTACTAGACTTCAAGACCTGAAAACTTCAATCAATGAATATAGTATTCGCTCTGAAATCCTGTCTACTGGATTGGGAGTAGACAATCCTGGGCACGTACAGGAACTCAAGAAATTATTTAAGGAGGCTGAAATAGCCCATGAGGAAAAAGATACACCTGCATTGTAAGATATATATTCTTTAAAGAATGAGACTGTTTTTTGTATAAACAGATTTTATGGATAATTAGGGGCTGCACGCACAAACTGGATGATGGCAGTTCAGAATCCTGTTGAGCTCGTATAGGTTAAAGAACTACGTTAGTATAGAGGTTCATGCTCTATAATATTCTGATGTTTGTGGGAATTAGGAAGAAGGATGAAATTCAAGAAATTAAGTTGGATATTCAAAGCCATGATTATTGTTGGTCTGTCTCAGAAAAGAAGTAGTGCTTTGAATGCATTGTTGGCATCAGGTTACTCCAGACACAAAGCAGCAAGAACATTGCACCTCCCCCAGGTCTGCAGATATAACCATAGTGTCCCAACCTATCACTCACCATTAGTAGCACACACCTTGGCTTGGCATAGAGGCAAGCACAGTCCTTACATGAAGAAAATACCAGAAATTTTTATTTTAAAAGAGATTAACAGGTCAAGAACACTGGTAGCTTTAGAACTGATAGCTTTAGACTTGGAAACATCCTTTGTTTATGAGCACTGTGTTTTGTTTGAAAGACTATTCAAGATGGTTTAATTATTTGTTCAGAATATAGTGAATCTTGTAATTGTGGTCTTTGCTTTGAGGTATTTTGTGAAATCTCCTTAGTGTCTTCCCCCCCATATACACCCCATCTTGCTCTTAGACTTTTCATATCACTTCATAAAGAAGAGAGCACAAAAAAGAAAGTATAGTGGGCCCAGGTCGAGGGACAAAAGCTATTTTGTCCAAATTGTCATGAGACCTTCTGCCGTGAATCATCCTGCCTCCCTTCTCAGAGCAGAGGTGCTCATATGCAGATGGCGGGTTGGAGGCCAGAAAGTAACATTCACCTTTCCAGTCTCCTGCCAGAAAGCTCCAGGCCTATCTACATCTTCCACAGAAATCTAAACCTCACTACCCACTAGATGGTAGCAGAGAACAAAGAATATAGCCTTTGTCTTTCCAAATGAGTAGGCTTTCTTTTTCTAGCAAAATATTTTTTGTCTTGTTAGATACAAGTATCTCCCAATGTTTCTGCCTTCTTTAAAAAAAAAATAAAAGGTATTTTTAAACAGCACAACTGATCAGCAGCTGGAGAAAGGGAACAATGCTCCCATTAAAAAGATAGATGTTAAGATCTTTTTCCCTCCCAAATTTCAGAAAAGGAGGGCATATTGTTCATTAGCTTTTCTGGACAAAACATATCTAGATACGATCAATACTGAGATCTTAAGAAAGAAACATTGCATAGGCTGCCCCAAATTAGTAGATGAAAGGACAGCAGCTGATATATTAAATCCATGCTAAGTAAGTGATTTGTATATTCTAGTGACATAATGCTTGTTTCAACTGAAGCTTTCTCCTATGATTGGAGCCAGTGCAGGTTCAGGCCCTGAGAGATTTTCCTCATTTTTTTTAGCCTTGCCGGGTGATTATAATTGTAGATCTCCCAAGAAGAGAAAGACTCTATACGTGTGTGTAGGTTTCCCTTTTATTCTTGGATGCTTTTATGAA